TTTTTTTCCAAAAATCATGAAAATAAGAACTCAAGTCATGTTTATATATAATTATAATTAATAACTTTTACATAAATTTTAAATTTTTCATTCAAAAAATCACAATAATGTCCCATAAAGTGATAAAAACTTGTATAAATTTAAAAGGATTATTGCAGAAAGAAAGAATTTTGAACATTTTAGAAAATTTACAATTATTTATATATATATATATATATATATATATATATATATATATATATATATATATATATATATATATATATATATATATATATATATATCCAGGCATCCATTTTTTTTCTTATCTGTCCATAAGAAAAAAGATTTATTGTTATAATCATTGAATATCTAATTTCATACACAGAATACTTTTTTGCTCGAATGTATTGATGTTTATTAGAAAACGCCTCCATTTTTAATTGGCCTCGTCAAAAATAAGGTCAATACTCATGAAAGAAAATAAATCTTAATTTCTATTGACAAAAATTTCTGACATTGACTGTTGATCTGATTATAACTGAAGAAAGAAGTACATGTAGCAAAGAAAACCTCATAACCAACAACTAGAGCAAAAAAAGAAAATCAGAGACTCAACTCTCAAAACTAGCACGGTATCTGTCAAATCGGAAGATTTTCAGAAACCGCGGTTAATTATTAACTAACCGCTTACTTTTTCGATTGAGTAATTGGTAACTACAACATTAAAAGAAAAAAAAATGTCCTTAAAGCTTAGTCACGGCATACACCTATAATTTTTAAGAATAAACATAACTGAATTTAATCTCTTATAGCGTTTTTCAGTCGTTATAATATTCAATTTATTTGTATATAGACACATTTTTTGGCGTTATATTATAATCCAAAAGAGTTTGAACAAGTTATAAAATTCAGTTCATTTCGTTGGTTTGGTTTGAACATATTTTATTGTCTATAAACTTTACAAATGGGATTGGGCAAAAGTTCATTTAATTCGTTCTTTGCTCGTCACTTGGGCACGGGCGATTCGTTTAATTATTGATACAATAGTGTTAAAAAACAAAACAAAACAAAAATAAATTAAAAAAAAAAAATACCATAAGCAGGTGATAGCGGAATATTACTGCATAAATAAGGGAAGTTGACACATGAAAAGCTGCATGAAGTTATCTCGTTTGTCATATAATTTAGTTGTTAGTTGGCCTTTATCTCTAGTCAGTAAAACACCCAAATATGAAACAGATATGTAGCAGACTCTTTGGTGTCCTTAATTTCGAGTTCATAGGGATATAAAATATATTCATATAAATAGAAGTAACTATTGCTTGTGTAATCACAAGATATGGAAATTTCCGAGTTCCATTTTTATATAAGAAGCAGTTGTCTAGCTAGTTTTTAATTTTTCGTGAGAAAGGGTTTGTATAAAGTATAGAAAAGTCATGCGATTTGATGTTATTGACTTTAAAAAATGTTGTTATTTTTTCATAAAGTTCTTTGGAGTTTTTGAGAATCCACATTTGATTTACACCACCTTTGAATATGCTGTAGCACAGTACATATGTACATCTAAAGTTCTACCTTAAAGCAGTAAAGGTAAGAGTGTATTTGCTGGACCCGATAAGGTGTCTTTGTAAGTAAGTTTTGAAGCTTTGGTATCCAGTATAGGTAGGGTAGATCGAATCTACCTTTATTGATTGGAATTTTAAAGGTAAAAAATGTGATTTTGAAAGACTTCATCCTTAGTAAGTAAACTTTGAGTATAACTTGACAATCACATCCACCAATTATAAACTACATGTAAACTAATTAAATCAAGTCGATTAAATATGTGGAAGGTACAAAACAAATTACTATAGCAAAGAATTGTCAGAGGAATTCTCATAACCAAAAAATGAGGCAAAGAATTGTTCAGAGGACCACTCATAACTAACAATTAAAGCAAAGATTTGTCTGTGGAACTCTCATAACCAAAATATAAGGCAAAGATATTGTTCAAAGGAACTCTCAAAATCAAAATATGAAGCAAAGAATTGTTCAAAGGTACTCTCATAACCAAAATATAAGGCAAAGACATTGTTCAAAGGAACTCTCATAACCAATATATAAGGCAAAGACATTGTTCAAAGGAACTCTCATAACCAATATATGAAGCAAAGAATTGTTCAAAGGTACTCTCATAACCAAAATATAAGGCAAAGACATTGTTCAAAGGAACTCTCATAACCAATATATGAAGAAAAGAATTGTTCAAAGGAACTCTCATAACCAGGCAAAGAATTATTCAAAGGAACTCTCATAACCAAATTTTAAGGCAAAGAATTGTCAGATAAACTTTCATCAACCAACAGCGAAAGAAAAACATTATCAGTGGAACTCATAAACCAATAACTACAACAGAAGATTGGGTTAGAAAAACCAACATTTGGCGACAGACAAATACCATGCATAGTTTCATGCATGTCAATTTTGCATTAACGGTCAACCAGGAAATTTACAATATGATACGTGTACCTAAGATACACGTTAACTGTGATAAAAACACGGTTCTTGTAATAACACATGAATGTTGACATAATCCAAGATACATGTACATAAAACAAGAATGGGAAGCAATAGAGGTTTTTTTTTTTTTTTTTTTTTTTTTTTTTTTTAAATCTGATGAAACTTAATATAATTTCAGATTATAAAGTTTGAATTTAACGGGTGATAATAGTTAGCATTTGCAAAATTACAATATGGCAATGAAGTTAACATATAATTTACAGTCAGTCCAAATGTGCGAAAGTCGTTGCAATTCTTGTCCAGTATAAAAACAGTATTATTTCACAATAATGTGGTTCAAGAACACTTTCTTTAATACTGCAGTATACTAGTATCCATTCATCTCGACAAACAAAAAAAATATAAGCAATTTTATTTTTGTCACAAAATTCACAAAGCTTTGTCGCAAGCGAAAACAAGTGTTTACAGCATTTTTTTCTAAATATCTTAATAAAGCAAAATAAGACCGTGTTTCTGAAGAATTTGCATTGAAATAAATTGGTACTAGTATTTTTCCATGCTTGTATCTGATAAATGAAGCGTGCATGAACAGAAAATTGAATTGTATTGTGTAATGTCATTTTCCATTATAACTACGAAAACATTTCAGGTTCATTTATTTCACTCACATCAACATCAGTGGTACATGAGGTACAGTATACATGTAAGTCGTCATAGCTGTGAAAAGATAATAAATATATGATACAATAGCATAAATGAGAGGCATATACATATGTACAAAATATAGCAACAAACATACAATGAGAAAAGAAAAGAATGGGATGATGATAAATTAAGGAGGACAGACGGTATCGTTTATTTTAGATAAACAAAGGTTTTTTTTAAAGACTTTAAATTGTGGTTGACATAATTTGGCAAGATTCTTCCTGATGTTTCAAACCTTTTAAAGCAAAACAAAGTTTATTTGGAAATCACTGCAAAATCAGAAGGATCATTCCCATCATATTAAATTTTGAAAAGCTAGTAAATGCATGAAATTTTTTACATTTACATCAATATTTTAATAACGAGAGTTTCATAGTACGTTTTGAACATTGTATTGGACAGTTTTGAAATGTTCATGGAAAACTTCAAATTTCTGTGTAGGAAAAATTTTGCAATTAAAATAAATAAATAAATAAGCAAAATTTATCTTAATTTATATTACCAACTTATTTCCTTGTACATGTAAGCAAACATCACAAAGCCAAATAAAATAAGTGATCTTTTGAATATCAAACATTGTAAGATTCGGGGGGAAAAAATTCTGCTGTCGCTGAATATACATGTCCACATTAATTGATGAAATAATGAAATACGGAAGTTTTATCATATATAGTAACCACAATTAAAAAGTAAAGGAGATGATCACTTTTAAACTAAAAAAGATCATTTATTTTATTCCTCGTTGAAGAATATCCAATCGTTAGAGAATCCCTTTAAAAAAAAAACTAATAAAGTAAAGAGTAAATAAATAGTTTTGTACATTATAACTCACTGATAAAGTAAACAATAAATAAATAGTTTTGTATCATATTTCATACAGGCTTGTCCTTCACTATCTTCTCTTGTCGTTGTACCATGGGGTGCGAGGTGCGAATGGTGCATTAGTTGTATTTCCTAATTACCACCTATTAGTATGCCTGATTAATTATATGGTGTGTACGTGGAATATAGAAAGGAGACAGATTTTATCTCGCGAGATTTAGCGGACACTGCTGAAATTTCTGCGGATTTGACAATCCTCCTTTGTGTGGCGACACTGACTGGTTAGTTGGTTCTCCGATTTTTTTTTTCCATTTCTTGTGGTATTAAAAAATTATAGTCGTAAATAACCAAATCTCCAGATGTAATCTAAACGAAGTATCATGAAGAAAATATGAATTACTCTACAAATATGACATCAATTTGCAAAAGAAATTTAAGTGAAGACATAATCATGCAGATTAAAAATGGCTATGAGTAAAATATAAATAAACTGTTATGAATAAATAAATTATTATAAAAAAAAATAAAGCACGACCAAAACAATTAATGCAAAGCAAAGAAGAAAAGAAATAGATCTAATTAAAACATAAAAATAAAAACAACAACAAACTAGAATAACTACAAGGAATTTCATTGAAGAAGAATTTTCAAACTAAATGAAAAAATTACTGGGATATAAAAGCCATGATTTAATCCAAGTTTGAACACAATTCCTCGTGTATTTTATAAATAAGGAATCATTTGAAATTTGCAAAATGATAATTTGATAAATTAGGTTTTCCCTGGATAATCTCAACGATTTGCAAACTGTTCAGACCTTTAAAATAAAATGAATTATCAATTTGAAAAATAAATTCCATTCCATATGAGGATTTTTTTTAACATTTATTCCACGTGTACATCTCCAAATAATCAATGAATGGGATATCCTTCTGAAGTTGTTTGACAACTTTTAAATCCCTCCCCTCCAAGTTTTTCAATCGACACACTAGAGCATGCGCGGACGGGTTAAACTTACACTACCGGCTCGGCAACTTCAGTCAGTCAGTGAAAGCGATGGAAAGGTGTAAACATGGACCTCGCGGTTCTTATTTCCAGTGCAGTGTCGTTCGTCTTATACCTGAATTCCCTGGATGCTGATTTTGCTTATGACGACAGGTATGCTCTATTGTTATGAGGTGCGCGTTTTTTGCGCGAAAATTCAGTAGTTGCAGTGTTTATTTACTAACTCGTGCACATGTGTATTTCGATCTATAAATAGACTTCGTACGGTTATTTTGATCTTGCAAAGAGAACCTCTTGAGCTATGTTTTTTTTTGTTTGTTAAAGAGAAAGAAATTTTAAAGTGTCATATTTCATTTTATGTGAATTGTACGATGGCCGATAGCGGCCGTCAATTTACACTAACGTTATGTGTGTAACATGTACAGCATTTTCAATGAAAACTCACTGACACATTACACCCAAAAGGAAAAGTGTACAAAATGTACAGTGTCAAAGCAAATTCCATGTACACTCTACACCAACGTTTATGTGTAAAATGTCAGTAAAACTTTCATGTACACTCTACACCTAAAGGTGATATCAAGATTCAAAACAGATCCAATTTTCTTTATCGTGCTGCTCCCTCAAAGTGCCTCTTGATGTTCACATTAACCTGGAGTAATTTTTATTTATATTTTCGCTATAAGGAAATGGCTAAATAAATGCGTCTGTCCAGTAGAAGATATCAAACAGTTCATATAGTTCTGGAAGTGAAAAATCTTGTTTCTAGTAAATATATGGATGAAAGGTTATAATATTAATACATTTCAAAATATATGAAGTGAATCATTTTCTTTTACTTAGCAGTAATATTTACAATCATTTTCACACAATGTGAAATGAAAACAAGAATTGTTTTATATTGTGTGATAATTATCACTTTCCATTTTTTGACTGGAAAATTTGAATGCTGATGTACCTCTCCTACTGGCAGACTGATCCGTTTTCCAAGCTGTGTCCTAAATAGCATTTTCGATAGTTATTATCATGATTTGATTAAGTACCTGTAATTTAATTGATGACCCTTTTAAACCTTTCATAAAATACTAATTTTGCTCTTTACTGATTATTTACCAAAGAACTTAATTTGCCAGCATTTCCTCAGGCCCCAAAACCATAAAATGAGAATAAACTTAAGTCAAAATTTTGATTTTTTAGTATCTTGAATTTTTTTTTAATGTTGTTGCTTAAAAATTTGCAATTTTATATAACATTTAAACTGAAATATATGATGAAAATTTGGTTTCAATATCAAAATTATTTCAAAAGTTATATTGGTTTGAAATTTTGACTTAAATCTATTCGCAGTTTATGGTCTTGGGGCCAGATCTATGTGAACTTCAAGAGGCACCTTGCGGGAGCAACACAAAGAAACACGTCTGGTTCTGTTTTGAATCTTGATTTCACCTTTAGATGTAGAGTGTACCTGAAAGTTTTTCTGACACTTTACACACATAACTTTGGTGTAGAGTGTACACGGAATTTGCTGTTATACTGTACACTTTGTACACTTTTCCTTTTAGGTGTAATGTGTCAGTGAGTTTTCAGTGAAAATGCTGTACATGTTACACACATAACGTTAGTGTAAATTGTCGGCCGCTATCGGCCATCGTAGAATTGTGTATTCCTTTGCTCGTTGTGAAGATAGCGACAATGATTTGACAGGGGCAATATTTACACCTACTGACTATCGGCCGATTTCGTCTTTGATAAGGGGGAAAATTCAGAGATAAAATGATGACAAGCTATCATTGTTTAAATGAAATATAAATAACAATAGAATTCGTATCATGCAAACTTAGCGTAACCTCTTTCAGTTAATTTTACCCGAACAATTATAAAAAGTGTCCGCTTTTAAATCACTCGCCGTCATAACTGAAATCGCCACATTGAGTAAATACTAGCTTGTCTATTGAAATACTAAAGAATGTTAAAGTGTTGTAAAGTACTTGTGAAAATAAGAGCATTGGAACTGAAGAAACACTAGGGGCACCTTGTGTCATCGGTCATAATGGTTTTAACAGAAATGACTGTTGTTATCTGGTTTTGAAGCTATCAGATAAACTGACCATTTAATATCAAATTAATATTTAAAAACAATGATGGTCAATTTTATAATAATTGTTGAAAAATATCACAATTTTAATTATAATTTATTTTTTATTTAAATTTAAACTGAAATGAAAAATATTGTGTTGATTTCATTTAAAAGAAATGCATGATAAATTTAGTAAATAAAAGACAGAATGGGTGTTAAATTGAGAAATACCACAGGTTTTATGCCTTGGAAAAGACCACACAAATGTCTCCTAGAAATGATTCTTTTTTTTTTTTTCAATGTCTAACACTCATGAAAATCCAAACCTCAAACAGATAGGATGAATTTAATTGGTGCAGAGCTGGTCAGAGAGGTTCGTGGAGTATCAGGTTTTCAGGAATATTTAAACAAGAGGCTTCAAGATTTACAGTTTTTGGTCCATATTTACTCTCTTTCAATGATGGACTAAGTTTGATGTTTAATAAGTAAATATCCCTCTTAGGGAGTAAACTCTGACTGAATTCTGATCAATGCAAAACAGAAAAAAGGTAAATAAGAGCCACATCGCAAGTTCAGGTCACATAAAGGCTAGAGCTAGATTCATTGTCCGAACATTTGCTCAATCTCTCTCGAAGCCTAAAGGATCCGGGAGTTTTATTTCCTAAAGTTACTGAGAAGTTTAATTCTATTTGCGATAGTATATGATTTTATAAATGTTTTGGATTGATAAAGATGCACCAGGCAATCTTTTTTATCAAAGGAATATTTACACAAGTTATATTTAAGCACTGAATTTATTTAATTAAGCATGAATGGTAGCAAATAATTAGGTTTGATAATACTAATAAAAATATTTGAAGAAGTAATCTTAAATGTATAATTGTTGAAACCAGTTTATGAAAAGTCAATATGTGGATCAGTAAATATTCAAAATCCCACCCATAGTGAATGGGCTAAAATTAGTTTTTGAAAAAATTATGAAATATATGTGATGAGTTTTCTTACCATAATTAAAACAAAAATCTCCCTTTAAATTTTATTTTAAGTCTGAAATGCTTGTAGAAAAAGTGAGATAAAAATTTATTAATTTATTATAATGTAAGGTATTCCATTGGTTCAATAGGATCTTGGGTGCCTGTCAATTACATTTCTTAAGAATTTAAATTTCAAAAATGACCTAGCAGTGATCTATCTGTTTAGTTTACCCTTGCATGTATTTCTTTTATTATGTTGGACCCTTTTCACTCTACAAAATGCAGTGCACTGAAATCATAAAGGACTCTTGCGCTAATGATTACAGACATTATGTTAGGTTAAACTTCTTTTGAATCGCAAGTCCAAGGCTTTTTAATATATTACACAACTTTTGTTAAAAATTTCAAAATGGCTGCAGTATAATCGATGTCTGGTAATATTAAACAGTTTAGCTTACTGCAGTTGTTCACTATAATGGAAAAAATAAACCTCATTAATAGCAAAAAAAGTATGTACAATAGTTTTCCTTAGAAATGGTTGATATTTATGTTTTTTGAAGACTAGTAAGGCAGATAGTTAAGGAAATGCATATTTCTACTGCGGAGGGTTTGAGGTGGCACCTGGTACCACCATTGGACCACCACCAATTAGAACCGCGATAGGTCACAGCTGAGGATTCAAACCATAGACCTGTCTTACGTGATAAATGTAGGATACTTTGCGTCCATGCATCACATTGATATGACAGGGTTCCCCAGTAGTAAACAGTTTCATATTCTGGTGACAGTCATAGCTCTAAGCTCTCAACAAAATGTGATAAATGTGAGGCAAAATTCTGCCTAAATGTAATTTTGACCATGTTTGGCAAATTATTGTAATAAAAATTTAATTAACTCAGAACACACATAACCTTCCAGTTTGTGAATACATGCTTTCCATGGTGTTTTTTTTATAGTTTTTAGACAGTGTATTGCTCATTGTTTATTCACAACTTCATGATTTTAACTGTCTTAAAAGAGCTTTTTGTCAAGGATGAGTTATTTTTTCCACTTTATGAAAATACATGATTTGAACTTCAACTTTTACATAATGAAGACAGAAATGCATTATTAAATATACTGAATATTCTTTGCTTGAGGACCCATGTTTTTATTTAAATGAACATTTTTACTTTAAAAGCACTTAAAAATATTACAGACAAGCTTGATAACATCAGTTTATTTTAGAGCGAAAAATGTTCGTTATTGAATTATATATGGAGATACTGTCATGACTGCTATATTCACCAAGTTAAAATCAGTTTTATGGACTAAAAAAAAAAAAAAAAAATACTGGTGACTGCAGTACAGTTTAAAAATGTCAGGAGGTTTATTTTAACCTAGAAATGGGACCCAATTTCCATCAACTCACAGGTATAAACAGAGAGTTGGTTCAAATTAATTTTATATTACAAATTTCAAAAAAAAAAAAAATCCATTATGGAGAATAATTTTGTTGTTGAATTAAGTAGTAAATGGTTTGTATGATATAATATTTACCTGTTTTTTATTGAGTAATGGTAATTTAACATTTGCAAAAATATTTTAAAGGTGATTTTAACAATAACAATGAAATGATGCATTTAAGTTTTTGCACCAAGAAGTTCATACATGTTGCCCCGTAGTGAAATTCACATAATTTTTTAGTTTTTATAAAAAGAATGTCTGATTTTACTTCGCCCATCTTTGCTGGCCCATTTACAATCTGCTCTTCTCCTCTCCATTATAAACCCTTGGCTAGTCTTCAAGATGACCTCTACTGGATTTTCCACCATATAAAATAATTCGTTAATATTTGCTTAATCTCTAAAATTCATGTTGATTAACACTAGTTCCAAAAAAAGCAGATGTTATTTTTTTTTTATCTTTGAGATTGTTCAATCAGCAATTATCATCAGAGAAGAGAACATAACCTTCCTTCTAGCATACATGTGACCGACTAAATAATCAGAACTTGGAGATTTGAAATTTCTTCCGCCGGATATTTGGTCTCAAACTGGACATTTTTATCAACATTTTTTTTTTTTTTTTTGCATTTGCATTAAATGCCAAAGAATGCCCAA